CAGAGTGTTCCGCAACCCCCGTTCCATAGCGACACACTCCGCTCTATAGCTGCAAGCCAGGATGCCCGCACCTGACACTCTCCGAACGGAGTGACCCGTCTTATTGTACAATATGGCGCCTGCACCAGAGGAGTTATCCAGTTTGACTGAACCATCCGTCCAGAGCTGATAGTCCGCATTGCGAAATCGATTCACTCGAACCATCGTGTGTTTGTACTTTTCGGCTTCTGGAGCGTCAGCCTTTAACCCGCCCGGAGGTGTTACATTGAAGAAGGGGCGCGCGGCTAGACGGAGGGTAGAGGCGTAGTGGCGCTTATGGAAGTCATCTACGGTTTCATACGTCCCTTCCACCTTCTTTAATGCAGCGCGGACAGTGTGATCAGAAGGGACTAGCCGTTCCGCTGTCGCTGCATGTATGCCTCCCCGCACCTTCGCTTGTAAGTAAAACTCCAAGGCCTTGTATGTGGCGTAGGCGTCGATTGTACACAGTCGGGCCTCCTTGAGAATGTCATGGCGGTTGGCGTTGCCCGGCACTCCCGCTATCACATGGGCTGCTCGCGCCTGCAGTCGTTCCAAGGCATCGCGAGAGGAAGGTGATGCGAGAAACCACCATACAGCGATGCCATAGCAGACACGAGCGCGAATGAGGGCCATGTAAAAGGCACGCAGTGTTTCTTTGGATGGACCCCATTCCGGTGAGGCAATAGCGCGCAGCTGAAGGAGCTTTCTATTGCCCGAGTCCATCTTCTCACGTACGTGCTTGCCCGCACCTTTATGGGGTTGCAGAATATACCCCAATAATTTGGGAGTTCGGGTTTCCCGTAGCTGCTTCCCCTGCACTGTGAGAACCAGACTATTGGCGTACCGAACCCCAAAGAAGGTGTACTGCGTCTTCTCTACCGACACCTCCATGAAGTTCTCTTCGGACCACTTCGAGGTGCAGTCTAAGCCTTCTTGCAACACGTACTGAATATATGCTCGGTCCGAGTGTCGACAAATCAGCGTTAGATCATCCGCAAAGAAACCGTGTGCGAGATTGGGAATTGCATTGAGTCGCACACTTAAGGAGTCTATTGCTATGATGAAGAGCAGTGGGCCTAGTACAGAACCCTGAGGAACACCACATGTGAGCTTTACATCCTTGGAGTAGGT